GGGGGGGGGGGGGGGGGGGGGGGGGGGGGGGGGGGGGCGGTGCGGCGGAGAGGGAGGGTGCCGGGGTGGGAAGTAGGAGGGGGTCGAGGAAGCAGGCGATTCATTTCCATAGAGAGTATATTAAGAGCATCCCCAGAAAAATATCTATGCGTGGACATACGTGCATCTCTGGATTTTTATACAGAGATAAGAATAACTGTCAGTTTCTACCCTCTCCTCCCCTCTTTAAGGGAGACACTATACTCTGTGGGAACAGGTAGTGTGAACTGCTAGCAGTGCAGCAATCCCCTCCCCCCTACTTACCCTCTTCTCTGTGATCGTCTAAATTATGAAAAATAGGGAGAGAGAATGCATTAATCCGCCGTTCGACACTGCATAGAGAACACCAGCAAGAGGCAAAATCCAGCATGAAACATCCTAGACTGCAGGGGAGGACGAAATGCTTTTAAAGCAACGATAAAAATGGCGTGCAGAATAATTACCTCAAATTGCTATTCGCTTGACACCCTGACACTAATTCTGTTCAAGCCATTGGGAAATACAATAAGGCAAACGCGCCTTCCTCTCCTGCTTGTGCAGGTGTGAGTGTGTGCGAGTGGGGGACATAAGGAACCTGTCGAGAGGAGGGGAATGCTAAACTTTCCATCTTAAAAGAAAAGAAATAAATTAAATAATCCATTTACGAGAAAGCATCTAAATAGATCGACAGCTTTTAATGCCAACGTTTTTAACGCTTGCCCTGTACGTGGATTGATTTTTTTTTTCCTCTCCAGCATTCCCTCAGCAGATGGATTTTTGCCACTGCAGCTCAGCAGAGGGTGTCAGATCTTTCAGTGTGCACCAGGTTGAAACGAGCAGAGCCTCTTAGCAACTCTCCCTCTGCGTGCATGTGAGTGTGTGCGAGCGTGCGGCTCGGCAGCAGCGGAAGAAAAAGGAAAGAAGAGCGAGCGAGGGAGCGAGCGAGGAGGGGAGGCAGCGGCGGCCGGCAGGGCGAGGCGAGGCGCGGCGCGGGCAGGCGGGCGGCCCCGGCCCCTCCGCGGGCTCCGGCCGCCGGCGGGCATGGGCAGCCGCGCACCGCAGCAGCGGGGGCAGGCGCCGCGCAGCGCCTGGGCTGGGGCGGGCAGCGCCTAGGCTGGGGCGAGCAGCGCCTGGGCTGGGGCGGGCAGCGCAGGGCTGGGGCGAGCAGCGCCGAGGCTGGGGCGGGCGCTTTCAGCACCGCGGCGCTGGACAGCGCCCGGCGGGCGGCGGGCGAGGAGCGCGGCTCCGCGGCCGCCCGGCAAGGTCAGTCCGCGCCGAGCCGCGCACGGCGCAGCCTCCGCGGCCACCGCCGCTCTCCCGCCCGCACCTCTCTAACATGCAGCGGCGGCCGGGGGCCAGCAGCACCGCGCCGGTGAGCCAGCCCGGCCGGCAGACCTCCACTTAGCTGCCCGGGAGGCGTCAGGGAGGGCGAGCGAGGAGGCGAATTTTTTTTTTTTCCTTCTACTTTTTTTTTTTTTTTTTTTTTTTTTTTTTTTTTTTTTTTTTTTTTTTTTTTTTTTTTTTTTTTTTTTTTTTTTTTTTTTGCCTGCCTTGCAGTACGTGCCTGGATAGTTTGTGGATATAATTACTGACTGGAATCTGGGCTGTTGCAGTTGTCCGTGGGGGGGAGAGGGGAGAAAAGAAATCATCCCCCCCCCTCCACCGACCCTCCCTGCTCTCCCTCCCCCCTCTTTTTTTTTTCTCTCCCTTTGGTGATGATTCGGACATTTAATGTATTGAATGAACTGGAATTGCTTTCCGTGTGAGGACGATGGTTGCTGTTACTTTGTGATGAGATCGGGAATGAATTGCTCGGTTTAAAAATGCTGCTTTGGATTCTGTTGCTGGAGACGTCTCTTTGTTTTGCTGCTGGAAACGTTACAGGGGACGTTTGCAAAGAGAAGATCTGTGCCTGCAACGAGATAGAAGGGGATTTGCACGTAGACTGTGAGAAAAAGGGATTTACCAGCCTGCAACATTTCAGCGCCCCAACTTCCCAGTTTTATCATTTATTCCTGCATGGCAATTCCCTGACTCGACTTTTCCCTAATGAGTTTGCTAACTTTTACAATGCGGTCAGTTTGCACATGGAAAACAACGGTTTGCATGAGATTGTTCCTGGGGCTTTCCTTGGGCTGCAGCTGGTGAAACGCTTGCACATAAACAACAACAAGATCAAATCGTTCAGGAAGCAGACTTTCCTGGGGCTGGACGATCTGGAATACCTCCAGGCAGATTTTAATCTATTGCGGGATATTGACCCGGGAGCATTTAGGGACTTAAACAAGCTAGAGGTGCTGATTTTAAATGACAATCTCATCAGCACCTTGCCCCCGAACGTGTTTCAGTACGTGCCGATCACCCACCTCGACCTGCGAGGAAACCGTCTTAAAACCTTGCCTTATGAGGAGGTCCTGGAGCAGATCCCAGGCATTGCTGAAATCCTGCTAGAGGATAACCCCTGGGACTGCACTTGCGATCTTCTGTCGTTGAAAGAATGGCTGGAAAACATACCTAAAAACGCTTTGATCGGCAGAGTGATTTGTGAGGCTCCCACTAGGTTGCAGGGCAAAGATTTAAATGAGACCACAGAGCAAGAGCTGTGCAAAAAGAACAGAGTAGATTCTAGCCTAGCTGCTCCCCCTGCCGAAGAAGAAACCTGCGATCCTGGTCCCATTCCAACCCCCTTTAAAATACATGGCAAAGAAGACCCTGCCACGCCAGGATCTGCTCCAAATGGAGGTACAAAGATTCCTGTCAACTGGCAAATCAAGACCAGACCCACTGCTGCTGTGTCGACAGTGAGTGCGAAGAGCAAGCTACCAGCTCCTGTGTCCTGCCCACACATCTGCAGCTGCGATCAGATCCCTGGCTCGGGTTTAAAGGTTAATTGCAATGACAGGAATGTGAGCAGCTTGGTGGATTTGAAGCCCAAGCCATCCAATGTGCAGGAGCTTTTTCTGAGAGACAACAAAATACACACCATCAGGAAATCCCACTTTCTGGATTACCGAAAACTTAATTTACTCGATCTGGGCAACAACAACATTGCCACTGTCGAGAACAACACCTTCAAGAACCTCTTTGATCTCCGATGGCTCTACATGGATAGCAACTACTTAGACACACTGTCCCGGGAGAAATTCGCTGGGCTGCAAAACCTGGAGTATCTGAACGTGGAGTTTAATGGGATCCAGATGATCATGCCTGGCACCTTCAACGCGATGCCCAAACTGAGAGTCCTCATCCTCAACAACAACCTACTGAGGTCTCTCCCAGTAGATGTGTTTGCCGGAGTCTCGCTTTCCAAGCTGAGCATACATAACAATTATTTTATGTACCTCCCAGTGGCAGGGGTGCTGGACCAGCTCACCTCCATCACCCAGATTGACCTGCACGGCAACCCATGGGACTGTACTTGCCCTATTGTGCCTTTCAAACAGTGGGCGGAGATGCTGCGCCCCAAGGTGATTATGAGCGACCTGAGGTGCGAGTCCCCTGAAGATTTCTTCAAAGAGGATTTTGAATCTCTCTCCAATGATGTGATTTGCCCTCAGTTAAAAATCTTGCCCACATTAACTTCTACAAACAAAAACAGCACCGGGCTGACAGAGACAGGTACTCACTCTAACTCCTACTTGGAGACCAGCCGGGTCTCTATTTCGGTGCTAGTGCCAGGGCTCTTGCTGGTTTTTGTGACCTCTGCCTTCACGGTGGTTGGCATGCTGGTGTTCATCCTGAGGAACAGAAAACGGTCCAAGAGGAGGGACGCCAACTCCTCTGCATCAGAAATCAACTCCTTGCAGACGGTCTGCGACTCGTCCTATTGGCACAACGGGCCCTACAGCACCGACGGGGCCCACAGAGTGTACGACTGCGGCTCCCACTCCCTGTCGGACTGAGACAGCGGGCGTGGCGGGGGCGGCCACCACCCGGGACCGGCCCTTCACACTCCGGCCGGGGAGGCTCTGCACCTCCGCTGCTACCTTTTGTGAGAAACGAAACACACAGACACACGCAAGCCCTTCCTCACAACCCCTACAGGAAGGGCCGAGGCCCAGTGTGCGGCGGGGGGAGCTCGGCGCGGGGACGCATCCCTGCAGCGCCGCGCAGCCCGGCGAGGTGGGCGCATCCCCCACCCGTGCGCGGCCGGGGCAGCGACAGACGGGCGAGGAACCGCTTCCTTAGGCTCCGGCAGAGCTTAACACGGCTCTTGGTTTTGTAGAGCTTTTGTTCCTTTGGGGTTTGTTTTGCTTTTTTGCCCTCTTCCTTTGTGGACCGACCCCTTTCCGAGAGGCCGGAAAAAAGAGGGGGCGGAGGGCAAGCTGGTGTCGGCCTCCTCCTGACGGCAAAGCAGGAGTGGAAAGTTGCACGAAGGCATGAATGTAATGTAAATAAATGACTCCGACTCCGAAACAAATAGACAAATGGACAAAAAATTAAAAAAAAAAAAAAAAAGTGCTGCATGGCTCGCATGGATACAACGCACCCCAGGGACGCTCCAGCCCCCAACTGGAAACAGCGTCTAGTTCACGCCATCATCCCTCTTACCCGATAAGTTCCTTCGTATCAAACCTATATACGAAATACAGTATAATAATAAAAAGTGCCATTTCGCCAGTTTTTTTTTTTTTTTGTGTGTGATCAATAGACAGTAGAGTTCGTACTTTTACTGTGAAAAAAAAAATGTAAAGGTTTTATTTAAGACATAGTTGCATGAATATTCTCATTGGATTTTTTTAATTTTTTTTTTTTTTAGGTGGGAATTACTTTGGTGGGAGAGATTTGCTTTGTTGATAGTGGGTTGTGTTTCGTTTTTCGGGGGCAGGGGCGGGGAGGGGAGGCTTTGATTTTGTTTCCTCTCTCTTCTTTTTCAATATACATATTTAGTATTGCCTTTCCATCTGAATGTAAAAATTAGTACCCATGATTTCTATTATGGTAACAGTGTAAACATAAAAAAAAAAAATCCAAGGCAGTTAAGCATGACCAATTAATGTCACTCTAGTGCTTAGGCTGCAAAGTTTAATGGTAGAAAATTCTGTGCTGTTGTAAATCTTACTATAACTTGAGGAGAACAGAACTGAGGAAGCAAGTGAAACTTACTAATTCTATTCGAGGATTTTATAATGGCATATTTTTTCAGTATTAAAGTGAAAATGTTTTCAACTCCGGGTCCTTACCATTTTTCCAACATCTAATTCTTGCAAATGGGTTACTTGAGTTTAGGGGACAGAGCCTCCTTTCAGTGCTCTCTGTGTGTGTCTCTCTCACTCCCTCCCTCTCTCTCTTTTCCTCCTTCCCTCCCTTCCTCTTTCTCATTCATTGACAGGCAGAGACACAAACACCCTTCCTTCCCCCCTTTCCCAATGTAAATAACACACAGAAGTTTCCTGCCTCCTTCCCTCGCCTCCGCTTTTTTATCCTTTTTTTTTTTTTTTTTAATAAGGAGGCAATGAATCCCTTTATTAATACTGTGAATCTTTCGCTGCTGCCGCTACTGTCGCCGCCTCTGCTGCACACACTGCAGATATATTAGAGATGTTAGTGGGAATTTGCTTTAAGTGCCACTGCCCAGCTCGGGCTCATTAAGTTCGAGCCGAAAATCCGCGGTCCAGCATTCCCACCCGGGGGCAGATTGCCCGGTGGGGCTGCTGCGGGAGGCCGGGCTCCAGCAGCTGCCGCCAGTGGGAAAAAGAATTAGTGCAGGGATTTTCCTGTTCCTGCACTGGGTACCTCCACCCTTTGATATTAAATGCTGGAAAAAAAAAAAAAAAAAAAAGAAAAAAGAAAAAAAACAAAACTACGGTGCAGTGCTGCAGTTGGACTTCAGGCAGCTCGCGTTTGATCCCGTTTCTGTACCGGGAAAGTGCCCCTAAACTCAGTCAAACCTGTAAAGGCAAAAGTCCCTGCAAATCACTTGTAACTCACAGCTCAAGTCCCAGTGGAGATATGGAGAATTTCAGTCACGTTGCTCCTGGCTTTCTCCAGGCAGAGAATCCTTTTAAAGAGTAAAACACCATAAGGGATTTGCTAAACTTCAAATACTGATTCGGTTTGCTTTACAGAAAATGCCCACCTTTGGGAGCTGCGAGGAGAAAACAGACATACATTCATACACACTGCAATAGGTACACTCTTGAAAATTAGGCAGAAGCTTGATCGCGGGTGTTAATAAAGTATTAAACGTGGGGAATACATAATTCCTCTAGAATCCTTCATCACAGTGGAAAAATCTGCAGACTCCTAGAAAATACCTTGAAGTTTGGTTGTGCAGCTCTGAAAATGGCATGGCCTGCTTAACTATACAAACTGGTCCTGGTTCAAGGCCCCTTCTTTATTCCACCTTCCTGCTTCATTGGACTGATTGTTCTGCCAGGACATTCTGTGTAAGACAAAGTGATGGCAGTAGAGGCACTAGTTTGCCATTGTGCAATCCACATTGTGCAGATTGAGAAGAAAACACAAATGCATTTACATGTGAACCAGTATTTCTTCCTTGAGAGGCCATGAACTTTAGCTTAGGAATAGTCCAAAATAGTCTAAAATAACCTATTTGAGTATAAGCCAGTGCACCCCTAGACGACTACCTAAGTCTTGCTGCCTTCTTCTTAATATTGTGGTGATAAAACTGAGCAACTGAGAAAATCAAGGATACATCCCATACTAAAAAATAAATCATAATCACGTTAGAAGCACTGTTATGGAAGGTAAAAGATATAGTAAACTAAATATGGCATATCACTGTCTGAGATCAGACACGCATGCATTTCAGAGAATATAATGCTAAATATATGTAATTCCAATACTTCACGATTGAGAAATAGCATAAGGTTACAACTTTGCTCATTTACTTTCCTTAAAATGCTAGGTCGTTGGCACACCTAATAGAAATGCCCATTCAATTGAATGTTGGGGGAGGTCCATTCAATTGAAGGCTGGGAGGAGGGGGTAAATAACAAAGTGGGCCTTTTTCTTTCTATGTCATTTTCTGATTTTAACATTCACAGGATTCTTTCTTCCATCTTGCAGACACTTGCCCTTAAGACACATAAATCACACAACTCTCTGAAATGATATAATAATTACCAGACCTTGAATTACAATGTTTATCTTATTTGTATGTTTAGCATTATAATGATTATTTTTATCAAAGCAAAACGCTCAACCAAAGAGAAACATAAGGGAAAGAAAAGGGATGATTGAGGATGTATTGAAGAGGAATGAAGTGCAAAAATGTTAAATATGTTCAGCCGTACTGCATTAACAACAGAAACAAAAAAGCAAATGTTTTATTTGTTTGTTAAACACTGTCATAATATTTCGAACATTGGAAGCCTATATAATATCCATGTTGTGTCAAAACGTAAATTTTTTCCTACCAACTTTAGAATCTCATAACTTCAACCATAACTTATATCACACTAAATTGCTTCTTATTCCTTTTTAATCATAACAACAAAGAGATTTCTGCGCTTTCAGAAAAGACAGAAAAAGAACAGATATATTGTTCAGTTAGTTTAACAAAAAAAAGGTTATGGTGTTTAATTTTTTTTGTTTGGTTGTTTTTTTTTTTCTGCAAACACTTCAATTATGAATAGCCTCGAATTTAAACTGTTGCCATAGAAATCTATGCCTGTATACATGGTAACCTCTTGAATGCCATTGCAGAAGATTAAATGCAACTCTAGGAGCAACCTGATAAAATTTTAAATTCATACCCATAGGTGATGTGTGTCATTTTAAGCAGAATTGTACTGTTGGAACTGCACAGGAATGCATTATTATCTTGCTTTACTAAATGTATTGGTTGTACTAGTTTATTTTATGACTTCAGTACAGTTGCATTGAAATTACACTGTTTCATATCTGCTTGCAAACTAAGGTGATGTAAACTTTGAGGAGTTTTTTTTTGTTTGGTTTGGGTTGGGGTTGTTTTGTTTAGTTGTGGGGTTTTTTTTGTTTTGGTTTGGTTTTTTTTAGCGAGAGTGTGGGCGGATGTTATCTGATGGAGAAGAAAAGGCTTTGTGTACTAGTCTTTACACAGGTAGAAAAGCCATTAATTACACAAGATGAAAATTTCACACTTTTTTTTTAAGCTGGTGGAAAGCTCATTAGGGTGAAAGTTAGGGCAGCCAGAGGCTGCAATATGCTCCTCCTTCCCAACATAATAATCTCCACCCTCCATTACCAATGAGAAGTTTGTAGGGATCCCAAATATGAAAGTCTCCCAAAGAAAAGTAATTTATAGTAAAGAGAAAACCTTTGTATTTTTGTCAATGGCTTGCTCAGAAGCAAGGCAAAGCAGGGATTTGTTGGAGATAAAATGAAAGACCTTTAGATTGCTCTTTCTATCCTGTGTAACCTTCTCCAAGACAAAGCTACATCTGGGGACTTTCTTGGAAAATGGTGCACAAGATATCTGCAAATCTGTAATGCCCTTGTTTTTTCTTATATTTGGAGTTTGAACCTGCATGGCAGTTGTTTTATTGTATACCTGACTTTCTAGTTGTTTGTACTATTTGGATCAGTCAGAGTGGGTTTGACCGCAGTTTTATTCACATGTGATCAAAAGTGAGCAGTCTTAGATGTTAAAGGACTTCATTAAATAGATCCTTCTGTATTTAGTAAAGTTTGCATAGATATATACATGAAGTAGGACAATTTCTGTGGCTGAATATTATTGTGTGTCTGTGCAGTTCAAATTCATGGGACTTCTTTGTGATTAATGGTACAGAAATTTCCAGGCAATGAGCAAGAGTATATGGCTGCTGTACAAATACCTTTTTCGATATTTGGGAACAAGTCAGAAAGGGGAGAATTAATAGGCTATGTTCATAAGCTATGGCTGCCCTAAGACCACACAGATATTTGTGTAATCTGTTTAAAATTAATAATCTGTTTAAACTGTATTACTAGTTTGGACAGATCAGAAGAATAATATTATTTTACTCAGCTTTTCCCAGAGGAATATAAGCACTGGAAAAAATCTGGACTACAATTGTTCCAAGCACTGTATTATATTCCACTATATTCATTATGAGTATGTTTAACAATGGTACCTTAATGGGTAACTTGTAACAGAAGTTGATATTCAACATAGATGTCTATGAGTTTCAGAAACTTTTATAATGTTATCCTTTTGGGTTAAGAAATATAAATGAATGAGATAAATTAAATATAAGTTACTCTTCCAAGATTAATTACCAGGTTAATTGACATATTGTTATGCTGAATAATTCCATTTACCAGCTAAAGTTTCTGAATCAATTTCTATGTATACTTCTTATATACATTCTTCAGTTATGTGAGAGAGGAACAAAATTAACAGAAAGTCCCGTGGAAGGAAGTAGTAGTCTCCTGCATCATACACTTGACTGCTGATGGAAAATTCATCGCAAACAACAGGCCAAAAAAGCCCATTGTAGAACACAGAGTTGACTTTAACCAAGTGCTTTGACTGCCATTATTTTAGGGATATCAGTGACACAAAGTGCTCTTGGGAGAAAGCATTGCCTACTTAGAGATATTGGTGCCAGCAGAACTCCTTCTTTATCTTTCTCCCTTTCCATTAGGTAGCCAGATTGATCCCCCTCAGCTAGTTTCCAGCTAAGCCAGTGGAACAAACTCTTTTGGCCCTTAATGACTTTAGATGATGTCATGACCATTCAGACAGACCCCTCAAGGTTTGATCTCAAACCATGTCTAACCATGGGTTCTCGTGTTTGGTTTGTGTTACGTTATCCTTCCTGAATCAACTCCATCTGTTGCAAGTGGGAAGTTTAGCAAACAAGGTGCTATGAAAAAATTAAGCAGCAGTGGTGGAAAAAAAGCAGTCTGGTGGAAAAAAATTTGGAATACGACTAATTTTCTGGATTTGCTATCTAATCTGGAATATAGGTGATATTTGTCCCACCTATTTTGATGGGCCTCAGTGAGATACCCTAGCAAAAGTGAGTAGTGCCCTAGGAGGTGTCTCAGAGTATCTGAGGTATGTGTGTGAGACTGGTAAATACAAAACAAGGAGTAGGGTACACTCACATATTTCTGAAGTGGCTATTGGACTCTGGATGGGATGCATTAGGGCATCTGAATAGGAGTAGGCACTCGTGGGAAAAACTGAATTGAATTTTTGATCTACAGTGAGAGCCTGGTGCTTGGTTCACTTG